GTAGTCGCAGGCGAACCTCGCATTTAATGTCCTGCTTTTGGCCTGAAATGAATCGAGCCTTCTTCTCCAAGTCATGCATTTCGGTGATTTGATCACATAACGCCATGAAGACCGACGTGTAATCTTGGACAGAACTCCACTGGTGTGAGAGTACGACCCCGTTCCATTCCTTTCTCCTTTCCATCTTCCCTTTCCATTTCATTCCTCTTTTTATCTTGATTCATTTGGCCTTCATCTAATTCCATTTGGATTCCTATTCCTCCTTTTCCATTATCCTTTGGTTTATCCTGTTATTATGATAATATCACCGACCAGGCTCGGGATGTAATGGCGCGCTATATCTAGCGTAAACCTGTCGTAATCCCTTAAAGCCAATAAACTCACATGGCTATACGCAGGGTGATTCTATTTCTAGAAGGGTCTATTCCCTTTGGATAGGATTAACCTGGTTACCTGATGTACTTTGGAAGTATAAAAGCGCCTTGTATCAATCGATAGTGAAACCTTTCCTCGACACATTCGATCTTGTGACAACTGGCGCCAGTTGTCTAGCTTTGTGCGTGCGTTGTCCGAGGCGGATATTGGCTCGAAACGTTCATGCAGAACTGTACCCCACGCCTTCCACGTGCATACCCAAAGTTTCCGGAAAAAAACCCTGTGTGTCGCCTGCCGAAAACTCCCCCTCCTGTAGTGTATATCGCCACCAATCCAGCGCAGGTTCCTGCAGTAGTGATACAGCCAGCCGAATTTTTAAATCGTAAGCAGTGATCCCAACGGCATTAAAATAAAGTTCCGTCGAAAATAACCAGCCAGTAACAGTAGTATTCTTATCTGTGGGGTTGAACTGGGGTGGCATTGTCGGTTTGATTGTCGCTATCGGCATGACTGCCGGCGCGGCTACAGTAACGGCTGCTTCTGACCGGGCGGCTGCTGCTGTCGCTGCTGCTGCTACTGCTTTTGATTCGGCTGCTGCTTGTGCTGCCACGTCAGCTGGTGCGGTGGCTTTGTTGTCCTTACGCTCTTGAGATGCCTCACATGCGATTTCGTCCAAAACGGTTTCGACACGTCCGGTTCTGTTGACCTCCTCTTGGGCGGCAGTTTTCTAACGGGAGTCCTCTCGCGCCTGGTGCAACTCGGCAACTTCTGCGCGAAATTGCTAGTTGTCCTTCAGCACTATAGCCATGCGTGTGTTCATGGCGTTGAACTGCTCCCGAAGCTCGTTGAACTGAGCTTGGTCCATTTGGCGAATGCTCCGCCAGGGCAGGGGGAAATCCGTAGTGTGCATGTACTCAGATAAGCGCAAACGCTATCGTATTTGGGTGAATTAATCAGTCTAATTCATGGGCAACCGCTTTGCTGCTTACGTGACGGACTTTACCCCCCCCAAAAAAAATCAGCTCACGAAAACGGGTGAGCGAGGAAAGTGGCTCTGAATACCAGGTGTTATGAATGAACAAGCAGAGTAGCACGGAAATGAATAACGAAGTGTTCAATCACTGAATGACGATACAAGGAATGGCAAGCCAAGATATAGGAACACAAGAGCTAGTCTAACCATGAGATGTTAAGGTTCGGGAAAGAGATCGAAGGGTCTCGAAGTGACGAAGCGAGGCCCGGAGAACTCCCGAAGGTCGAACTAGAAGGTCTAGAGAAGCCGAGGCGGTTCTGTCGGAAAGGTCCGTAACTGCCCCGAAGCTTCGGGTGTGTTCGAGGTTACGCGATAGCAATACAGTAAGGAATTACGACTCCTTACTGGGGCTCGCCACAGCGAGTACACGCGAACAGTGCGCGTCCGCAGGCTCGGCCCTTGATTCTCGCGCCAAACCAGCCCCTGCGACCTTTTCGGCCCCAACCTGACCCCAAGTCGCCCCGAACCCATTTTGACCCTGTCACCCTCGAGACTATCAAGCCCTTGACTGGTCCAACCCTCGACATTCAACCCTAGTCAAGTCGCACTACATAAGCCCTAGGCCTCATTATTTTGAACAACTTTTTGTAATCACGTTTCCCTATAGTATTCTGCGTTATACTCTGAGTTATATTTCATAACAGCTGGTATCAAAGCTACGTTCCTGCCCATTAGGCTTCCTGTAGGGGAGCAGACTCTATCGGGGAAGGGGGCAGAAGGATGCTGATGGCGAGCGGACGACGAGGAAATTAATTGCGCGGGCGTTGCCTATGCCGTCAGATCCTGTCCGATGGATGGCTAGGATTGGCCGGTCCTCCCCTTCCCTGGGCGTAGATGGAAGTATTTTCCGTCGAAGAGATTGCGATGTTTTCGCTGTGTTTTCGGGTATGTTTGTTAGAGCTTTCATAGTTTCCAGGTGTTAGGACGGAGTCTTCAGATTGGCTTCCGACAAAAGCGAAGGCTTCTTCATGAGGAGACAAGTGCACGGGAGTCCTCAGGCGGCCGGGAGTTGGTCGTCAGGAGCGCGCGGGGTGGCGAAAATGGCGGGATGTACGGCGATGTACGTCTGGCACGCCATGCAGCAGCAGGGTGAACTGTAGCTGTGTCGCGGGTCCCAATGTTTCCGGCAGGCTAAATGCAGACGATGGACAGGACTTCTACACTATTTCGGCAATGGGCGGATCCGACAATTTCGGAACAACACGATCGCACGAGGACGTGTGGGTGTGCAATTGTGTGGGAGCAGCTGGGATTAACGACCTCGGCGCTATTCACTACGACGGCCATCTGGAGGTGATGACGCTGTGCTGGAGTGAGTGTACTCAGCGAGGGTGACTTCCAGCGTGGGGAGGCGTTTTTCGTGGACCAGTTATTCATACCCCCACGATCAACGGAAACAGATGCCACCACCCCTGGGTGTGTATTAAGTGTTCTTCGACCGGTCGCCGAATGCGTTAACTGTCAGGAGCTGAAGCAGACGGGAGTATAGGAGCAGATAGGTTAGTGGCGTACGGGCTGCTACTTGCTCAGCTACGTCGCCCGGAAATTACCATTCCCACCAGGTAGCAGTGTTGACTTATTAATCGACGGCTTCTGGCTGAATAAGGGGGGTGAATCTGCGAACTACACTGTGCTGATGGAGTGTCCCCGAAAATTTAGGAGTTAGATTTGCAACGGAGCTGAAGGTTTCACCTGGTGCAGCAGAAGGAGTTTCCGACTTTTGCGGGTGTAGTTCGACGGGTTTCCGACGGAGGAGGGAGCTGTCCAACGGTCAGTAGGCGAGCTCGTTAAAGCTCCTCTGACTAGAAGCGTGCGCACTCCTATCTCTACGGATTCTCCTAGTTAGTTAAGCAGCAGCGAAGCAGTTCTAGGTAACTTGCAGCAGCCGCGAGATGGGTGAACGTCTGCACAGCCAGCAGGGAGGGGTACTCGAGTATTTTAAAGTTGGGTAACAGCTGGGCGGAGATCGGCGGCGTATGATGCGCATTGACCCTGATTGACGGCCAAAACATAATGCCGAGGCGGTGGACTCCGGTAAACCCCAATCTAAAGGGTTCAGTTCATGCGTACAGCTGGTGGAGAAACCGTGGGGGCGCTGCTAAAGGACGCCGTGACGCCTGGGCATTTTTACGGGTAACTGTGAAGCAGAGTTACGGTCTTAGATAAGTACCTAGTGGTTCCGACATTTTTTATGGGTTTGAGGAGCAGTTCAGGAGTTTACAGTTGGATTTGTGCCCGCTATCTTCAGGGGTACGGGCAACATCGACCGACTTTTGCTGAGTATTCCGAGTACATGGAGCCGAAGGAGAGCAGTCGTTGTTTCGGTTCTTCCCGATTTTTTCGGCGAGCACGGACAACGAACCTGATGCAACTGGCGTCATTCGACCCAGGGGTTTTCGTTCGAGGATTTTCCATGGAGAGGGATTTGTATCAGTTACTCTCCATCATCATCATTGCCTTCCTCTTGTCTGCACCCGCGACCACCTCAATTCTCAATTCGCCTGATTGTGTGAACACGACCCCGCCTCGCCATCCGAATCGACAACAGCAGTATCATATTTATAGGAAATTTGGCAACAGTACTATTGGAGCTGTGTTGGGGCCAGCTCGCAAGCAGTGTTTGACTAAAGAAGATTTTTTGAGTTCGTGTGGGAGTCTACTACTGGAGTTGCGGAATTTCCATACCTTCGACGCGGTTTACCCTGAAGACAATTTACCTGGAGCGGATTTTGAAGTCATCCTGATTCGCGTTTTTAGTGGCTGAGATTTATTACAGCAGCATCTTCGAAGCACGGTGATGGAACTTTTCAGAAGCAACGTGGGATTCTTTTGCCTACCATGGAGCATTGGTTTTTCCTGGAGTTTTACCTGGGAAATTGGGAGTTGTTTTCTCTTGGAGGGGGGAGAAGGGCAGCTGTGCTGCAATTTTCGTCTGACCCTTCGGCGTGTTCCATTACCGTATTAGCCCGGATAGAAGACCCCCTAGTAATAGAAGACCCTGGGTCTTATAGTAGGCGTCTATCTTGTATTATGGCATTCCGTTTATAAGACCCTCACTTGGCGGTATGAGATAAGCCCCCCCCCCCCCCTTTTTTTAAGATGTTATTCTAGTATGGCAAAATTCTATGCATTCAGTCATCAATGCAGATAGGACAAGAGTAGTCTCTTAGAAATCCTCATGGGTCTCCATAGTACTAAAATCACAGCCCCCCTCCTCCTCATCTACTGGTCCTCCTGGGGGGTGCTTGATGTAATCTAGCACCCCCCAGGCATGCCTCGCAGTGCTCTCATGCTCTGTCAGCTTCTCGGCTTCTGCTGCTGCGCCACGGCACTTCTTAGTCTCTGGGTACGGATCCTCCTCTCCTGGCTCCGGCGCTTCACCCCCCTCCTCCTCCTCCTCTCCCTCCTCTCCCTCCTCTCCCTCCTCTCCCGCCTCCCCCTCCTCTGCCTCCTGCTCTTCCACGAAACCTGCATTGTCACCACTCGTCCCTTGCAGGGACATGTCTTCAGAGACGTTGAGAGCTGGCTCCCCACGCATGTGCTGGAACACCAAGTAGTTGTCTGTACCATCCATGGAGCTTGAATTGCCGCAGGTCTTGAATGCTCGCACGATGATGTCACGCGGCACATCGCGCCATGCTTGGTCAATCCACTTCAGTACCACGGGGTGGGGTGGGCGGCGCAGGTTTCCTGGAGTAGGGATTTCATGGAGCACTAGCACAGGCATCAGTCACGGATTTGACAGGCAAGTGATTCGAGCGAGAAAATCAGGGAAGAAGCCAGAAATGCGGGCAAGGTGCATTCAAGGTCACGGGCGGCGTGCATTCAGGGATGCGGGCGGGGAGAAATCAGAACTGCTGGCGTACCTTTGGCCGTGCGTAGGTTGATGCCGTGCTTTGCAAACCACTTTGCATAGCATCCCTCACCCCCGCTTTAAAACACCTGTTGATGGAAACATCAAGGGGTTGAATCAGCGGAGTGCACCCAGCTGGAATGATGGCAGGGATGATGCAATGCGTCCTGTACGCGTGCTTCATCCCATCGGTGAGATGGCCACGGTACGAGTCTAGCACAAGCATGGCACGTCGTGCTGGCACCCCACGCTTCGGGTTGAGAAAGGGGAGAACCTCTTTCTCCAGCCAATTCTTGACGGCTGCCTCATCCATCCAGTCGTTCTCCTGCGCTTGCACTTCGACCCCTGCAGAACGCACGCACAAGTCGGATTTATGTGAGTCAAACAACAGGTCGTACGCTCACAGCATAGGAGGGTTCAGGAGTGCATGGAGAGCAAGACGTGGAAGGCTTACCCGAAGGACATTCACATTCGGGTATGGTCTTGCGCTTGAACCATACCCACGGCCGGAGCTTGTCGCCGCTGGCCGTGCATGCTAGCATCACGGTCAAGCGTTGCTTCTCGTATCCAGCGGTCTTCACCGGCACCGAACGGGACCCCTTCTGCTCCAACGTCCGGCCAGCTGGCATCTCCACGAAAAGAGGAGTTTGATCGGCATTGATGATGCGGCGTAAGTCCATCTGATGACGGGCACGGTTGATGCGAACGAACTTCCAAAACCCCTCACAGTCCGCGGCGCATTCTGTGGTGGGCGGGAAGGGGCAGGGGCGGAGGGGCCTTAGCAAGCGCATAGACACAAGACAGAGGCACGTCTCTGCACAAGAGACGAATGCAGAGACAGTGAACAGAAGCTTTGCACAACAGACAGATTCAAAGAACAAAGGCTCAGCACAGAGACAGACGCAGATACAGAGGCATACACTTACCCACAGGACACAAGAAGCTTACCTGGAGAGAGCTTCTGCCCAACCTTTGTTCGGCAGCGTAGTGTGAATCCCCACCGCTTGCGAAACCGTTGGCTCCATCGGTTCGACCCCTGCCACCTGGTATGTGGGTCGTGTCTGCGCATGTACTTTCGGCTCCATTCCCGAATGTCATTGACGCTGACCGCCAGGCCCCGACTCCGTTGCTCGCAGACATACTTGGCGAGCGCCTCCTCCATCTCGGGGTGATGCGCGTGTCGACCAGAACCATGCAGCCTCTTCCTGCACTTCGCAGCCCCCTTGTGCTTTCCCTTCATATCTGCCTCCACCCAGCGGCGGATGGAGCACTGTCCGACGCCCGCTTCTTGTGCCGTCCGCATGAGTGACCCCAGCTCGTGATACCGCAGCGCCCACCGCGCTTTCTCGCCGACCGTGAAGCTGCGTCGCTGCTTCTTGTTGGCTTTACTACGCGGCGAGGGTGGTTGCGCGTCGGGGTTCTTGGTCCTTGGATCACTGGGCTTCTTGCCTTCGGGGAACACGGGGATGGGGCCAGCCGCTTCCGCGTAGGCGTTGTCGGCTTTCTCCTCGGCCATATCGCCTTCCGGATGGCTGGTGTTCCGCTTGGCGGACTTTTGCGTGTCGTTGCCGGCGGCTCGCTTGCGTTTGCCGATGCCGTGCTCTTCCCGGGATTTTGCTTTCCCTTTCTCCTCCCTCGACAGCCGTCCACGCTTTGCTGGGGACTGTTTGGTCGGTTTCTTTCGCTTTGTTCCTCCGTGTTCGTCGTTGTCAGCACCGTCCAGCTGGCGCTTGCGACCGTGCACCTCGAAGAGAACACGGCGTTTCTGGATCGGCATGTCCTCGTCGGACATGCCGCCCGCCTCATCGGTCGAGTTGTCGTTAGTGGCATCGCACTCGACGCGTTCCATCTTGTCAGCCATCCACTTCGAGCTCCGCAGCTTTGCCCCGCCACGACATCGCCCCGCCGACGCCGCTACTGCATCGAAGTCATCGTCGTCGTCAGCAGCGTCACCCGATTCATCGCTCGTGTCGTCGGCAGCATCGTCAGCCTCGTCGTAGTCCACATCGTTGCCTTCCTCACCGCTCGGATACTCGCCCGCATCGTCACCCTCCTAGTACGCGTTCTTGTCGGCCGCATCATCGCCCACCCCGCATGCGTTCTCGTCGGCCGCATCGTCGCCCACCCCGCAGGCGTTCTCGTCGCCTGTAGCGGCACCATCCCCTCCGCCAGCATCGATGCCCGCGTGCCATTCTTCTACTTCATCGTCGGATCCGATGGGCCTTGCCCACCATTCGTCTTCGTCGTCAGCGGCGTTGCACGCCGAGCCGTCCGCGTCGGTGCCCCCATCGTCTGCATCGTCGTTAGAAGCCGTGAGGGGAGAATCACGGCGGGGTGAACGACTCGCAGAGGCCTTTCGGACAGGCCGAACACTACCGTTGATGGTATCGCAAGGGGAGTTAACTCTACCAAAAATGTTGACGTACACCCTTGGTGATGTAATACCTGCTGAAGGGCGCCGTCCGCCATGAGTCTCCCTCCATGACGGACGGTGCTTGCTACGCATCTCGCTAAGCCACTGATGGCTAAGGCACGGCAGGCAGAGGCACACCAGGCTGATGCATTTTTCGAGAACGTGAGATGCAAATGAGCAGAAGAGGGGGTCCACCCACCTCCGACAACACTGCCACAATTCACTTTGTGGTTCCCCGTAGAGGAATCTGTCCTCGCTGAGGACGCTTTGCTGACGCATCATGTGACAGCCCATCGTATCCGCTGGATTTGTGTGAGCTAACGCCAGATAAACGGTTGGGATGGTTGAAACGTGACGTCCAGTTAATGAGGGTTGCAGAATACCTGCCAACACACCCTCGTCCCTCACTTGCTGCATCTCACACGTGTCCAACTGACCCTAAACTCTTATCGCCAACAAAATCGGCCCCTTAATGACATCTTCAATATGAGAACTGTTCACAGACCTCTGGTGTAACTACTCCAGGTTTTTTCCAGTGAGGTTACGATGGTTCCGTTTATAAGACCCCCATACATGCTGTTTTTTCCCATTTATAAGACACTCTGGGCTTTTTTCTAACGGTATGTGATAAGACCCATGAGTCTTCTATCCGGGCTAATACGGTATCCTTTTTCGAGCATCATTCGTCACCATTACGCGTCCGCACCTGATATCGTCTTTTCGTTGATGGAGTTCGCTGACTTTCATGGGACACGGGCGCGTGCTCTCGCATGTGACTCGGACGACCTCGCGTCTGATGAACAGGCTCTCCATTTCATCAACCATCACGTTGTTCGCCAGTCATGATTTCAAGATATTCATCTTTCACGCCCCATCATCAATCGATGGCTTGACAGTTTCACTGTTCATTGTCTCCCACTGGAGTATTTACCCTTGCCCGTTTTGGTCAGCAGAAGAATTCGACCATCTTCGACGACTGAAATTAAAAGCGATCGTTTCGACGCTTTCTGACCATTGATCGCAGTTCGACATGAAGACCTCGTCAGGCCGGCGTAATCATTACGCTCGTCACAGGGCTGAAGACCTACAGTGACTTTGGGGATTAAATCAGACAAATGGTTCGGCCTCGATAAAGGGTGTGCCTTCCTTTAGAAGGTGGGAGAGTGTAAGGAATTACGATTTCTTACTGGGGCTCGCCACAGTGAGTACACGCAAACAGTGCGCGTCCGCAGGCTCGGCCCTTGGTTCTCGCGCCAAACCAGCCCCCGTCGACCAACATTTTGTAATCACGTTCCCCTACAGTATTATGCGCTATACTCTGAGTTGTCATTCATAACAAGTATAACTCGGTACACCCCTATTATGTTTATTCGAGAGACTGTACTCTAATCCTTGATATCTGTATGAAGGCTTGCCAGCAGATATGATATCTGCTCGCCCCTGCTCAGCTCAAACCTCAGAGGACATCCAGCTCTCTGCGAGGCGCCTTGCGAGATGCTAATGACCGATTCGCACAAACTCGCCATTGTACCAAAACCCTACAAAAAAAGTTTCGCAAAAGGTAACCGAGAGCTCTCTTATTCGTGAATTCACAGGCGAGGCCATCTCCTCTTGGCCGCTGATGCCTAGACATTTTTCCAGCAAATGCGAGTCCCTCAATGCACCGCCGCTTGTGTCAGCAGCTGAAAGCACATCCCAACCCCAACCAAGCCTCCTGCAGCCGCTTCCAAACACTAGAGGGGCACGCTTCGGGAAACGAGCCGCACCAGTTGCTTTAGCGGCTCATTTCCTTCAGCGTGCCCGCCGTGAACAGAAATCCAATTCCCACCGTCAACCAGTGGTTTCCTGGCCATTCGAACGATCTACGCGTCCAAATCAAGAAAAATCTGTTGCCCATGGGAATTCCCAAAGCGAGGTTCATCAGACGGTCTGATCCACCATCATCCATGCTGGCGTGTTTGGGACCACCGCGAAGCCAGCAAGGCATAATCCCGATCGTAGGTTTTTGCTCACTGCGTCGGAAAGTTGGGAAACCACGTATCCACAACTTCGTTGTCCAGGCTACTGCAGTTTTCCGCTAGACCGCACTCACCTCATGTTTTAGCCTGTTCCCGCAGCCTCCTTGCAATTTTTGCTAACGGATTTTCTCAGTCCACTCTACTATCTCCGCTGAAGTTGGTCCGCATCTCTCTTCACCTTCACCATCGACGACCAACAGCAGCAACATTACTACGCAGTCTGCAACAGCAATACTGCGCCATCAACCTCAAGGACCTTGCTGGCTGCGATTCCAACTATTCCGCTGCAATTTGTTCTGCAATTTCAACAATTGCTGGCTGCAATTTCAGCCATTTCCTCGGCTCCAACGCTGCACCTTCGTCTAGTTAAAGGTATAGCTTTGATTTGTATTTTTCCTCGTACACCTTATTCTTCGTCGTTTTCGAAGTTCTGCTAGAAGCTGACTTGTATCGATGTTTCTATTTGCAGGCACGAGACAACCCCTGCTGGCTGGAAGTGCAAGAAGGACATTAGAACTGGCTCTAACAATGACGATCACACTGCCTGCAATTTCGCTCGTTACAACTTCTACTTGTTTCGCTGCGTGCAACGACATTCGCATCACCAACGTAAGCCCTTGGATCTTGGTTGCTGTATATCCTGCTCGTTTTGCGTCCTAAGCCGGTCCAGCCGCTGACTTTCCTGTTGATGCTGTCTTTGCAGGCACGAAATCCTTATTTCTGCCTGCTGCAACTGCAAGGCGAGGGTTGCAACAGCGCTTAAAGCCAGGGTATCAAGTGCCGCAAGTGTTTTGCAGTTGCTCAGACTCGGAAGAAGTTGATTGGAAGGCGAGAGGCGAAACAAAAAGTGAGGGAAAACGATGGCAGCGATCAGCCCAAAATTCGCAATGTCCACCCAACGTAACGAGGAAGTTTGGGAAACCGAACCGAACCAAACAATGTCCAAGCCGAGTCCGAGTCTCCCCGTACCGGCAACGCTAAAACTGCAAACAGGACCACACACGCTACACACAAAACCCAGGCCTGCCCGTTATGGTTCTTACCGCTGTCAAGAACCTACGTGGAATGCAGCCAGACACAATCAAGGAAGCGAGAAAGACTCTGAGCGTCCTCACGCCAACCGCGACGCCAAGGGCGAGTCAGAATAGGACATCGTGGCAGATCGTGCAAGCCGAACCCTAACAGGTTTAGCAATCTGGTGCCTTTCGCAGCTTGGTTAGAACCGTACTTATTATCACGCAGGGTAAACAGCGAAAACAAACTCCCGGGCGCGACGGTAAGCAAGTAGGCATAAAGGACCCGGGGAATACCGTGATACCCTGGTCGAAAGCGTGATAGATGATGAGGCGAGCGCGACGGATTCTGCCTACGAAAAAGCGAAGATCGCTTGGGGCAAATGGTACACTGATACTGGACGCGGAATGCGCGAATGGAGGAATCGCGCGGAATGCGAGGGGGAATGCAGGCACACTACAGCTGTGATCCCGAGCCAGAGGACGAGATGCGCGACGAACACCGCACGCGCTCCGCAAACCCTGCATCATATTTCGAGCGTCTCTGCCGCACATCACCCCCTGCCCCCCTTCACCCCCCCTCTCCAGACGGAGTCGCGGGCGGCTCGGAACCGCCCACACAACCTTCTTTGACCACCATGCCACGGTGGGGCCGTGCGAGGCCTCGACCCACGTCGTACCCTCACACCACCGACTCTGCGAATGATGCCACGTGAGCCGCAAATACTGCGCATTCAGACAAAGGTGTAGGAGCTTGGGAGCACGGGAGACGAGGCAAGCAGGTACCCGCAAAACCGGACACGGAAATCATGGGTGAACCACCCTGCCCCCCTCACGGCCCTTTGGGAAGCGAATTCCTGCCCTTTCCCGTTCCTCACAGCTCCCTCACTAATGACACTCAGGCCTCCTCTCTTCCCCCACGGCTTCCCCTCTCTTCCCCCACGGCTCCCACTCTCTTCCCCCACGGCTCCCCCCCGCTTTCCCCACGTCTGCCCCCGATTTCCCCATGTCTGCCCCCGCTTTCCCCACGACTCCCCCTGCTTTCCCCACGACTCCCCCCGCGGTCCCCACGACTCCCCCCGCTTTCCCCACGACTCCCCCCCGCGGTCCCCACGAGCCCCCCCGCTTTCCCCACGACTCCCCCCCTCTTTCCCCCTGGCGTCCCCTCCCTTCCACCTCAGCTCCCCCTCCCAGTCTCTCAGCCCCACCTCACTAACCTCTCAGATCCGCCTCTATATTCCTCAAAGCTCCAACACTCTGCCCCCCCGACGTCACCTCTATCTCCCCTCTGCCCCCCCCTCTCTCACGCCACTTGGCTTCCCCTCTCTTCCCCCATTGCATGGGAGGAACCCCTAAGCAGGTCTCTTCCCGACGCGGGTCCCTTGCTGGCGTTCCTCTCTTATCCCCCCAGCTTCCCCCCCTGCTTGACCCCCAAAGCGCTTTAACGACGCTCGTCTGCGCCCCCCATTCCCCACCCCAGCTACCCTTCCTGCTCATCCCTCTCCCCCATTCCCCACCCCAGCTCCCCTTCCTGCTCATCCCTCTCCCCCATTCCCCACCCCAGCTCCCCTTCCTGCTCATCCCTCTCCCCCATTCCCCACCCCAGCTCCCCTTCCTGCTCATCCCTCTCCCCCATTCCCCACCCCAGCTCCCCTTCCTGCTCATCCCACCCCCCCTTCAGCTCAAGCTGCGTGTGTTCCACACCCACTCCCCTTGCAAGCGGAACGCCATTGACGACGTGCTGACAATGCTCTCTGCCCTCCCCCCACTCCCTATTCGCACTACAGGCCCTGCTCACCCGGCCTTCCTTCTCACTTCCCATTCAACACTACCTTCTGTAAGTGTGTGTAAATGCCGCACCTCACTAGCATACTCGTGTGGTGTCATAGATTTCTTCATCCTTTTCCCTCACTCCCGCCCACCCCCCTCCAATGCGCTACTCTT